ACCTATAATTATCTGGCACCGACTAAAGAGAAACAGGGAGCTTAAATAGTGAGCTGAACAGGTGTGGCAGGTGAGTGGTGATTGCAGAGACAGGGTGCAGCAGATGAGTGCAGATTGCTGAGAGAGAGTGACAGGAGCAGAAAATGGGTGATAGGCAGTGCAGGACCAAACAGGATGAAATAAACAGAAACTGAGGCAGGAAAAAACGTGAATGATCTTAAAACAGGGGCTGTGATATGAGGAGCAGTTAGGCAGATGGGGGGGCAGCGGGGGTCGCTGAGCGTGACACTTCACAACAATTTAAAATTTCATATCTTTATGTTTGAAGCCTGAAATGTGGCAAAAGGTTGAAAAATTCAAGGGGGCCGAATACTTTCGCAAGGCACTGTACCAGTTGAGGTGGCTTGGGCATCTGGTTAGGATGGACACCTCCCTGGTGAGGTGTTCCAGGCATGTCCCACCGGGAGGAGACTCAGAGGAAGACCCAGGACATGCTGGAGGGACTATGTTTCTCGGCTGGCCTGGGAATGCCTTGGGATTCCCTCTGAGGAGCTGTCCAAGTGACTGGGGAGATGTAAATCTGGGCCTCCCTGCTGCTACCCATGCGAACCGACCCCAAATAAGCAGAAGCATATAGCATGTAGCGCAAATGGTAGAACTGCTGCCTCTCAGCGAGAAGGTTGCTGGTTCCAATCTGGGTCTGGGGGCCTTTCTGGGTGGAGTTTGCGTGTACTCTCCATGGATGCATGGATTTTATCCGGGTATTCCGGTTTCCTTCCACAAACCAAAAACATGCATGTTAGACTGATTGGTAACTCTAAATTGTCCCTAGGTGTGTGAGAGAGAGTGAATGGTTGTTTGTCTTGTTTGTCTCTATGTGTCCCTGTGATGGACTTGAGACCTGTCCAGGGTGTACCCCACCCCTCGCACAGTGATTGCTGGACATGGGCGCCAGCTACCCCGTGATGCAAAAATGGAAGAAGCGGGTAAAAGATAATGGGTGAATGGGTATATTTATTGAGGTTCTCATAGCAAATACATACACATTTGTTAGTTATAGCATATATAGAGAACCCCCAACACACACCCCCACACACACACACACACACACACACACATCATGAACAATTTTGAACAGGTAAACACACAGCAAGTTCTATAAGAACCAAAAAGCATAAAAAAAAACACAGAACAAAAGAAAAAAAAGTAAAACTAGAAAAACATAATGAGGAATCATGTCATCTCCTATGTAATTGTAAAGTTGAGGCCTGTGGGATCTAGTTTGTCCAGGAGTGGTTTCCATATCTTAACAAATCCCTTGCTGTTATCCCGTAGGGTGTAGGTCTGTTTTTCCAGTGGGAGTATTCTCAGAAGCTCATTATACCAGTCATTCAATGTGGGGGCTTCCTGTGATATCTTGAACTTGAAGATGGCCTTCCTTGCAGCATGTAGACATATTCCTATCATTTTAGTGTTCTGGGTGTTCTTGCACTGTCCACTTGAGCCCCCAAAATACAGTGAAGGGGTGATAATTCTAGGTCCTACCCCATCAAAGAGGTCACCTCAACCTGTGCCTCACCCTAAAACTTTTCAATCTTTATACAATTCCAAAACACATGTGTGTATGTGTCAGGCTCTAGATTACATTTACTACAGGTCGAAGAGCCCAACCCCAACCTGCCCCTCAGTATTGGCGTGATATGAAGCCTGCAGTATTTTAAATTGTGTCTCTCTGTTTGCATTACATGTCAAAATATTATGTGTTTCTCAAGATTGATGCCCAGGTGTCATCCTCAATATGTCAATCTAAATCCATTTACCATTGTTTGCGTATATAATCACAAGAACATTCTAGATTTGGACCAAGATTCTCATAGATATAAGATATACATTTCTTTGATTTGGTTCTAATAAGGATGTCTTCCATAAACTATGTCTTTGAGGCCCTAGTATTTTTATGTATATAGTGCCTTATCTGTAGAAAGCGGTATGAGACTGTTGCAAGCTCTATTTACTCTTCAGGTTTTCAAATGATTCCATTGCTTCTCCTTCGAAAAATTTAGCGAGGTAATCTAGACCCTTATCTGGCCACACAAGGGGCAACCTTTTAGGTTCAACATACCACAGTTGTGGGATTCTACATCAGTCCATGTGTTCATGCTATCTGGATTCACCCATTCTTTCAGGTATCTTATTTGAACCACCCAGTAATACAATCGCATGTTAGGGACTCCAAGTCCTCCTCCTTCCTTACTTTTGTGTAATTTACATAATTTAATTCTGACCTTTTTTCCCTTGCTATATAAAGTGTGTAAACACATTATCAAGATTTATAAAGAAGCTGTTTGGAACTGAGTAGCTAAATATTCCATCAAATGTGGTATGGATGTATCAATCCTACCTAAAAACAAAAGTACATCATCTGCATAGAGAGAGATTTTATCTCTGACCTCTATCCCCTTTATCTTGGTTTCAGTTTTTAAAAGCACTGTAAAATGGCTCAATAGCCAGTGCAAACAAGAGAGGGCTCAGTGGACACCCCTGTCGGGTTCCTCACTCCAGGAGGAAGGGATCTGAGAAATGGGAATTAACAATTATGGAGAATCGATATAGTAATTTTACCCATTCAATGAATCCTGTCCCAATTTTGAATTTATCCATAGTGCAAAAAATAAAGGGTAATTCAACTCTATCAAAGGCTTTCAATGAGTCCGGGGACATCACTAATCCTTGTATGGCATCATTACTGGCAAACTGTATTATATTCATAAGCCTCCTAATATTGTGTAAGGAATTTCTTCCCTTGATGAATCCTGTTTGATCCAGCTTTACCAAACCAGCAATAGGTTTGAGCCTGAGGGTCAGCACCTTCGCTAGACTGAGGTTTTGGTTTTTGGACTTGAGCATCTTAGGAATACATTCTTCAGTCTTTCGTCCTCCTTGGATGGTATTAATCTGGCCTCCAGCTCTAATAATAATAATAACTTTTATTTATAATGCACTTTACATTCACAATGGATCTCAACGTGCTACAGTGAGTGAACATCAGATAACATCAGGATAAAAAGCAACCATAAAAGCATCTGAGAGGAGGAACAACCAGGAGAATAATGCCTCAGAATGATCACATCAAAAACTTAAAATGCACAAAATGCAGATAAAATACTCAAATAAGAAGTATGGGTGCAATAAAAAACAAAAGTACAATTCAATCAATTAAAAAAATGTGTAAAAAGAAAGGTTTTAAGACCTTTTTTAAAACATATCACGGTCTGTGGGGCCCTCAGATATGAAGGCAGGGCGTTCCACAGCAAAGGGACAGTGCAGGAGAAAGCCTGGTCTCCTGTTGTGTGGGACCAAGACCTGGGAGTGAGAAGAAGATGAGTGTTGAGGGGTGAGAAGTTCTTTTAAATAAGATGGTGCATCACCGTACAAGCATTGGAAGGTGAGCAGATAAATTTTGTAAGTGATCCGGGCAGAAACAGGAAGCCAGTGTAGTGAACGGAGTACAAGGGTGACATGCTCATGCTTACGCACTCTCATCAGGACCCTGGCAGCGCTGTTCTGGACATCCTGTAGTGTTTTTATGTTCTTGCCAGGAATCCCGAAAAGAAGTGCATTGCAGTAGTCTAATGTTAAAAATCTTGGTGTTATTTTTGATCAGGACATGTCTTTTATCCCCCACATTAAAAACGTTACTAGAATCACCTTCTTCCACCTGCGTAATATCACTAACATTAGAAACATCTGATCTAAAGATGATGCAGAAAAACTGGTCCATGCATTTGTCACGTCTAGACTGGACTATTGCAATGGTTTATTATCTGGGTGTCCAAATACTTCTTTAAAACGTCTTCAGTTGATCCAAAATGCTGCTGCCAGAGTCTTAACTGGAGTTACTGGGAGAGATCATATCTCTCCAGTTTTAGCTTCTCTCCATTGGCTCCCTGTCAAATCCAGAATAGAATTCAAAATCTTACTTCTAACCTACAAAGCTCTCAACAACCTAGCTCCATCTTATATTACAGATCTTATTGTTCCATATTTTCCTAGCAGAGCACCTCGCTCTCAGACTGCAGGTTTACTTGTGGTTCCTAGAGTTTACAAAAACTGAATGGGAGGAAGATCCTTCAGTTCTCAGGCTCCTCTCTTGTAGAACCAACTTCCAGTTTCTGTCCATGAGGCTGACACATTGTCCAGTTTGAAGACTGGGATTAAGACTTTCCTTTTTGATAAATCTTATAGTTAAGGTTGGTTTCTTATGCTGTCTTAAACTTAGATTACTAGAGGAGAAACTGACCTCATTTCCTTAAATGATTTGTTAAAATTGAATAGTTTTCATTTGATACCATTTCTATCTAACATGTGATTCTTGAGCTGCCATTGTGTATCTATTCCTACCAAACCCAGCTGGTCGAAGCAGATGGTCCTCTTGTCCTGATCCTGGTTCTGCTAAAGGTTTCTTCCTCATGAGGGAGTTTTTCTTTCCACTGTCGCCTTCATGCTTGTTCAAGATGAGAGTTCTGTGATGGAGTTAAATTACAAGCAGTCTGCTCCTCAGATAAACAGTATTAACTTATTATTTTTATATGTGGATGTTTCTGTTCAGTGTCCTGAGATGACTTCTGTTGGCACTGTATAAATAAACTGACTAGATTTGAATGCTACACAGCTCAGATTTAGTACAGTTTTTAACTGCTACAAAAATGTGGCCTTTGTTTTTTAAAAAAAGTGTTGTCCTCCTCTAGTTGTGTTCAAATGAGCTGAGAGCTGCCTCAGCAGCAGTGACGTAGCATCACGTGTTTTAAATCTCCCCTCTCATTGGTGCTCTCTGTCTCCTCCTGACGTAGCGTCACGTGTTTTAAATCTCCCCTCTCATTTGTGCTCTCTGTCTCCTCCTGACGTAGCGTCACGTGTTTTAAATCTCCCCTCTCATTGGTGCTCTCTGTCTCCTCCTGACGTAGCGTCACGTGTTTTAAATCTCCCCTCTCATTGGTGCTCTCTGTCTCCTCCTGTAGCCTCATTTGTTTGGCAACAACAACACACCGCTTTGTGTAAGCTCCGCAGCGCTTCAACGAATACGGATTTGATTTCGACAAAAACGAACACGGGGCTTTTTAACTGGGCTCAGACGGAACAGCGATCCCTTTCTCTGTTTGATGCCACACGGAGGCTGAGAATATGGAGGTCGGTTCCCGCTGCTGTCCCCTGATCCTCGGGCTGGTCGTGGCTTCGGTGCTGGGACTGGGTGAAGACCTGGACCGGCCTCTGTTCGGGCCTCCCGGCTCTGCTGTCCGGCTGCACGAGTCGGACCCTGGGTTAAGGAAGGCGCTGCTCTTCGTAGAGGAGCGATACAACCGTGGCTCTAACGCCGTGCACCTCCGCAAAGTCAGCCGCTTCGTCTCTGCCACCAAACAGGTGAACCTGTGTTAGTTTTACGTGTTCAGAGTTTTTGTTATATGTTTTAAATTGTAATAATAAAGTGATGGGTGTATAAAACAATATTGGACACTGCTGTAAGAGTTAGCATTAAGCTAATGCCGGAAATGTGGATATTGGCTTTCAAAATAAAAGCGTTTACTCCCGATGCAGAGACTGTTAAATTAAAGTACCCATATTTCATGAAAAATGTACACATATTAATTATTTTCACGCAAAAAATAAGTATGTTTTAATTTTAGCAGTTTTTAAAAACCTTTGAATCAAAAAATTTCTGTAATTTGTTTATATCTGACCGGAAGTCAGAGTTGCGCTTAAAGGACTTGACGTGATATCAGTCTGCTGTCAAACTGAACACACGTCAGTGAGTCATTGAAAGGGTTCTGGAGCAGGGCTCTGCAACCTTTACAGCCAAGAGACACGTCACTAAATTACACGTGTCCGGAGCCACGGCACCTGCTACAACTGGGAGTCTCAACTGGTGGCCCACAGACCAGTTTCAGTTTGTTGGAGGGCGCTTTTCTGCACATCCATCCATTATCTTTACCCGCTTCTTCCATTTTGGGTCACGGGGGTCGCTGGTGCCCATGTCCAGCAATCACTGTGTGAGGGGCGGGGGACACCCTGGACAGGTCTCCAGTCCATCACAGGGACACATAGAGACAAACGAGACAAACAACCATTCACTCTCTCACTCACACCTAGGGACAATTTAGAGTTACCAATCAGCCTAACATGCATGTTTTTGGTCTGTGGGAGGAAACCGGAGTACCCGGAGAAAACACACGCATGCACGGAGAGAACATGCAAACTCCACCCAGAAGGCCCCTGGACCGGGAGTTGAACCAACAACCTACTCGCTGAGAGGCAGCAGCTCTACCAGTTGTGCACTGTGCTGCCCTTTTTTCTGCACAGTAGGGGTGATTTTACAAAACTAAAAATATCTAATGATTTTTAACATTTATTGATATTTTTACAATCTAAGACAAAATAAAAGACAAGATTCTTGTAAAGAAGAACAATAATATAGTTTTGCCCAGTTTCTAAAAACTAAAACAATAAACTTCATTCTTATGTGATGTTTTTTAATTGTAGAAAAATTACATATCCTACTTTGAAGATAAAGCGTAAAGGGAAAGTGTTTATGTTTTACTCCTTGTAATGTTTCTAGTATTTGGTATATAGTTTATTCATTTTAAAAAAGTACAAAACAATTCCATAACAATATAAAAAAAGATACAAAAGATTTAAAATGAAAGGCAGCAGAAAGAAGAAAAAATCTTATTATATCCGCCCCTTTTTTCAAACAATTATTTCAGACATAATAATCTTCAAGTAACAGAACAAAATGAATAACTCTTTCTAATTTTTCTAATTCTAATACAAAACACACACTAAGCTACTTCATATATACTTTTTTAACAATCCAGTTTTGATCTTTTTCTTAAATGTACACATTGACTTGGCATTTTTCACATCACTCTCTAGACCATTCCACAATCCAACTCCTTGGATTGAGGTAGACCTTCAAATGTTTCTAGTATTCATATATTTGCAAAATAAATGACAGTAAAACCAAGTAGGTATCTCTGCAGCCAAATTCTGAAGGCGTATCTGGGCGGTCATATCTGATTGGACTATATGAAAATAGGCGTGTCTGGCCGGCCGCATCTGATTGGACGATAGAAAAATGGGCGTGTCTGGCCGGCCATATTTGATTGGACGATAGAAAAATAGGCGTGTCTGGCCGGCCACATCTGATTGGACGATAGAAAAAAGGCTGAACGATAAAATGACGTAACCACTGACACATCATGTCTAAAAACAAGGTGTTATTGGCAGATTGTGTTAACCACAGGCATATTATGTCTATGGTGGTAACCGTTTCGACATTAGCGGCGTCTCAGTTCGACATTAGCGGCGTCTCAGTTCGACATTGGCGGCGTCTCAGTTCGACATTGGCGGCGTCTCAGTTCGACATTGGCGGCGTCTTGGTTCGACATTGCTCCAGTATACTGCCGCGGCGTCTCCATAACTTCTTTTTTCGACTCTCTTAACACAGAACTTCCGGTTACATTTCAAAATAAGAGCAACATAACTGGGTAGTGGGGAGAGCTAAATGTTAGGTTTTTTTTTTAATACCTAGCCGTAACATTAAAAAACAAATTCCATTTTGGTTGTTGAAAAATGTGAACAAAGTTACAATCGATTCATAAAGAAAGAAAAATATTAATGATACTTAAACTGGCCTTGGGACAAAGGAGGTTTCCTTTAACTTCACATTGTCTTGTTCAACCTGCAGTCACTGCAGATGAGTGATTTGTCAGTTTCTGTAAGATTTCTGCACCTGGAGCAGGTATTCTGTTTACTGGTTAACTTCCTCAGCTGTCTCACATTTTAAAGGTCAACCCTACTCCATGTTTCAGTAGAAAACAAGCACATTTAGGAGTCAGTACATAACCAGACTTTTGGCCCTCACACCTATACCCAGTTGCTCATGCTGCATGATGAGATCAGATTTATCCATATTTTAGAAATTACATTTAGCTTAGTCGACAAAACAATACAAATGAAGACTGTCTGTCTTAAAAACCCTCTTGGTTTTGCAGTAAGCAGCCTGATTTCAAACTGACATCTTGGCCAAAGGTAAAATAAAAATCTTTGTGTTCTCAGAAAAGTTGTTTCAGGACCTCCAATAAACTTATGTACACATCAAAGCACACAAGACAGATTCAGGAATTCTTTGTTTTCCAGATTTCACATTTGTTATTACCTTAAAACATACTCAGACAACATTTGATGCATCATTGAATTTTTTTTATTGTGTTTATTGGGACATCCATTTTTAGAAGTCATCGTAGCATCTGTTGGAAACACAGAACATAGTACAGTTAGGGTGTTGCTAGTTGTTACTTAATCCTGGATTGGATTTTAAAGTTAATTTTGATATTTTTTTCACAAGAAAAAAAAGTTGATTTCCTAAAGTTTAACTATAAATGAAGGAATTTGTACATTCAGGTAATTGAAAATTAAGTAATTTCTCTAACATCCAACCCATTTTAGCCACTGAGCCATACCAAACACCCATAATCTATTCTTGAATGAATTATTGACTATTATTGACAAATTACAGACTTTTTATTGAATAAGTTATTACTCATTATTGAGTAATGAAAGTCAACATCAGATGTTGGTCAACATTGTTGAGCAACATCTTGGGGTCTTCTAGAGTCAACCTGAAGTGAGAGTGGTTCCTGACATGGCAGAAAGACATAGATATAATTAACAGCTTTTATTTATTTATTTTTCAGCTAATAACAACTTTTTTTTTTTTCATATTTTTCAGTTATACACAGCTTTTAAATATGTATTTTTCAAGTATTAAGAACTTTTATTTTCAGCTTTTATTTTGAAAAGGAGCCAAGTGGAGGTTCACTTTACCTCAGTGCGTTACAACAACAACGAGAGAACGGTCGAAACTATCGTGACCTACAATAAACGTACTTCAATAAAATGCATAAGTGAAAACATAACATACTTTATAAGTACAATAAACCATATTTCTTTGTCAAACATCGCAAAGAAACGTTACCTCATCAATGACTCGTGACTTTGAGGGTTACCCACAGCCAATCAGTGTTCGCCGCCGACAAACGCCTATTAAATACTGTTAGCCAATCAGTGTTCGCCGCCCATAAACGCCTATTCGCCAGAAACGCCCACTTTTGGTCTGCAGAGAACCCCTTCTCAGTAAAACTGCTAAAACTAGCCCTTTCAGTTGTAACAACCAATAAAATTCAGTTTAATGTCAGATTTGGTGAAAGCTTGAAAGAGTCTCTGCAGAGGGACCAAAGGGCCGCAGGTTACACAGCCCTGCTCTAGAAAGTATTGAAATGATTTGAATGAGCTGTGAGGCTAAAACAGGCAGGACAGTGGAGCACAAGGACCAGGGCTGCAGCGCTGTGATTCAAGCACCACGCAGAGCTGCACGAGCCACGTTGTGTTACCATCAGTGTATTGATTCAAGCTGCACGAGCCACGTCGTGTTACCATCAGCGTATTGATTCAAGCACCACGCAGAGCTGCACGAGCCACGTCGTGTTACCATCAGCGTATTGATTCAAGCGCCACGCAGAGCTGCACGAGCCACGTCGTGTTACCATCAGCGTATTGATTCAAGCACCGCGCAGAGCTGCACGAGCCACGTCGTGTTACCATCAGCGTATTGATTCAAGCACCACGCAGAGCTGCACGAGCCACGTCGTGTTACCATCAGCGTATTTTCAGCCAGGTCTGCTTTTCTTACCGTTTTGTTTCGATTAATTGTGTTTGTTTCTTTTCAGCTGGTTAAGGGAATTCGTTACACTTTAACTGTGGAACTGAGCAACACCCAGTGCAAGAAAGTCACCATGCTGAGGACGTGTGGCTTCTATCCCGAGTCTCATAAACTCCAGGTGAGAATGGAACACGCAGAATAAGCCTCAGGGACAATGTCCTGTCCACTCATTTGTCCAGCTGAAGTGTCTTCTGGCAACAAAAAACTAAACTACATGCTTCACATCAGCTCCTTATAAACACATGACTAACTTCCTGTGTGGGATTATTTAGAGCTTTGTCCTCGCAGCAGTGAACACATGACTCTGCCTGTACAATAATCTGTTCTGGTGTGTGCTTCTGTTTCAGACTGAGGTGTGTGTGTTTGAAGTGTGGGACATTCCCTGGCAGAACACGACGACCCTCGTCAAACAGAAGTGCCAACCTAAAGGTGTGTCAGCAGCTTTAACCAGGCGGAGCAATCAAATTGGAAGAAGGTTATCTCACTGAAAAAATGCAGCGTTTTCAGTGCAGAAAATAATCTGTTTATTTTGTCTAATCTTTGTTTGTTGAGCCTGACATTCCTGTTATGTAACTAAAGTTTATCAGGTCGATAAGTTAAATCAAATATATTAAAAGGTCATGTGTAACGGTAGTGTATGCCACATTAAATGTCTCCTCTGCCCTGTGATTGACCTGGTTTTATTTTATTTTATCCTCATTATAAGAAAATACAAATTAAGAAGTACAGTGAGGCTGCAGGAGGTCAAAGGTCAGTGGTGCAGCGTTGAATCCTGAGGCTGCAGGTTTGAGTCCAGGTTGCGTCAGGAAGGATATTTACCAAATGCTTCACGTGTGTTTGCTGCTTGTGGTGACCCCGGCAGAAGAGAACAGTACACGCTGTGTTCCAGGATCAGTGCACGTTTAAAGCACACGTTTCTCTGTCGTCAGCTGATCCTGAAGGTGAAGGGACCAACAAGGTGGAGTCTTGGTCTGGCTCCCAGCCTCTGGAGGTAAATGTCGTCTGCTTACAGATCACCAGGAACAAACCGATGAGAAGTTGGGGCTTGTCCTTTCGTCATCCAAACGTTAATTTGTTGTTGACACTGTTGTGATCATTGAGGTACGGCCTGTGTTCCTCACTCTGTTTGTTGTGTTGCAGGAGTCACTGGAGCTCCTGGACCAGTTCAAACAGTTCATGGTGAAATACGATAAGATGTACAGCGGTCAGGAAGGTGAGCGGAGCTCTCTAAACCATTTACTGCCTCGTCATTCTTTCTGTGTTGTTGCTTTACAAACTGGATGGTTTTTAATTTAAACATCATAATTAAGAAAGCTGGAAATGGATCAGTGAGCTCTTATTTATCGTGACGGGGCGGGAACACCCCGTTCCTCAAAGTCACTGTCGATGTTGCACAACAAGCGTGTTCAGGGGGTCTCTGATCTTTGTCCAGTCTTCTTCACCAAACTGCTGCATCTCCTTCAGGTTGGACGGCTGCTGCTCGTGTCCAACAATCATTAAATCAAAACAGTGTTTTTAGTAGGACTCGGGTCTGGGCTCTGACTGGACCATGCAGGACAGTTTTACAGTTTCACTGGGTGTAGGGTCCTTGTCCTGCTGGAAGGTAAACCCCCACCCCAGTGTCAGATCTCTATAAGGCAAGTGTCTGGATTTTCTTTGTATTTTGCTCCATCCATCTTTTCTTCAACTCTGACAAGTTTTTCTGTCCCTGCTTGTGAGAAATGCCCCACAGCATGATGCTGCCACCACCATGCTTCACTGCAGGGAGGGTGCTGTAGGTTTGCCTCAGACATTGATGGTCATGAAGTTCAGTCTCGTCACAGCACTTTCTTCCACATGTTAAAGAGAACAACATCAGAACAGTTCATCTGTTTGTCCCTCTCTTCCATGAAGCTCAGCTTTCAGCAGCTCAGAGTTCTGTAGGTGGAGCCTCGGCTGCAGAAGAGCTGCGTCCTGGTGCTCCTCTGAACAATGCCCTTCCTACCAGTTACTGAGTGTCAGTGGACGACCCTCTTGTCAGGTTTGGGATTTTTACCCAGATGTTCTCCACATCTTTGGTTCTGACCTGGTTCTGACCTGGTTCCTTGATCTCCGAGCTGTCACTTGCTCGGTGGTAGCACTTACTGTGTAGCGGTGTTGAACTGGTGTTGAACTGGTGTCGAACTGGTGTCGAACTGGTGTTGATCAGGGATCACAACAGGGTTGTATATACTGACACCATCTGACTCTTGGACTTCTCACAGCTGGGTCTTACTGAAATAATGTGATGACCTCTTAAGGTTCTGGCTGAATCTTCAAAGCAAAGCTTTGTAGGTCACTGGTAATCAAACTGGAAATGATTCCAGGAGGGCGTCGAGCCGTGGAGGGTGAAGCCGTCTGCAGCTCCCCGTGTCGTGCTGTCAGCTCACACCACACACACTGTGTGTGTTCTTATCTTTCACATACATGGACACGCTGTGCAACAGTTTGTCAAGAATGAGATCAAAATTTTAGGCAAAGAATTCCAAACTGGTTAATAAAAATACTAACTTGTGAAAACTGGTTTAGAAATGCTAATGAAATGAGTCACAGTTAAACCAGTTTATTTCTCGTGAAGTGAGCCGTTCTTAAATTTTGTCTGATTTTGTTTAAGATGTGAAAAGTATCTGATGTCAGGAAGTTGTAGTGTTCTTACTTCAGGTGTGTCTCGTTTTATTGGGTCTTTTTCATGAAATGCTGTTTTTCTGCCTCCTTGCCAGAGGCCAGTCGTCGTTTAAGGATTTTCCACGAGAACTTAAAGACGGCACAGAAGCTCCAGGATTTGGATCAGGGTTCAGCAGAGTACGGAGTCACCAAGTTCAGTGACCTGACTGGTACGTGACTGGGCATAAGCTCGTGTTTCCAGTTTCCCTCAAGGAAATTCACTTTCTGCTTCTAAAGTGTTGCTTGAGCTTTGGTCCGAACAGAACTCCTTAGGTTTGACTGCGGCCTGTCTGGGTTTGTTCAGAAGAGGAGTTTCGCTCCAAGTACCTAAACCCGCTCCTGAGTCAGTGGAGCCTCCATCGACCACTGAAACCAGCTCCTCCTGCCAAAGGCCCTGCCCCTGACCGCTGGGACTGGAGGGATCATGGAGCTGTCAGTTCAGTGAAGAATCAGGTGCCTGAACAAAATTATGACTGAGGGCTCAAGTTATCCGCTTCCTTGTTATCATGACTGGTGTTAACTACCTTGTGCATGTGTGTGTGCGTGTGTGTGCGTGTGTTGCAGGGTATGTGTGGATCCTGTTGGGCATTTTCTGTCACAGGAAACATTGAGGGCCAGTGGTTCTTGAAGAATGGAGCTCTGCTGTCTCTCTCTGAACAAGGTAACATGTCAAGGCACAGACTCAAACACACGGTTCCATTTTAGTTCAAACTTTTAATGTGAGCTTCATTAAAAGTTTATGAACAATTAATATCTTACCTGTTGTAGACAGCTCTTTGAATGACTTCAGTTGATGACTGATGAGCGAACAGCTAGTCCAAGTAGGGCTGAGAGGACAGCTGAGTTCTGCCATCTTAAAACAACTACAGTCTGTCAAAGATATCAGCTTTATCTTTTCTTCATGTCTCTCTCTTTCTTCTGAAGACACCGGATGATAAAAGACTCTCTCCGGTTCTTCGCTGACCCTCCTTTTCTCTTTAAGATCCACTTTGACCATCTAAAATCAGGTGTTTGGATCATTAAAAGCAGCTAAGCTAACAGGCCAATCTCAGGAATAAACCTCCGTCTTGTCGAAGCTCCAAAATTCACGGTTAAAACCTGTGCCTTCGTGTAAAAAGTTGTTTTTCTCTGCAAAAAGAAGCTGAGAACTTTTTTTTTTTATTAAAGCTTTGTGTGAAAAATGCTAAAGAGCTCAAACCACACCGAGCATCTGCCATTTTGAGAACCAAAAAACAGTTGAGACAGCCCATGTCATGTCAAGGGGCCTCCCTCCCATTTTTCTTAAAGAGACACGCTGCTCACTCCCTCACTATCCATCCTTCTGTTCAAACAGTCTTATACTGACATCTGGTGGTCAACAAAGGTGCTACACTAAAAAAAATCTACATTTTTTTCTTAAATTTGACAATAATTCACAATAATAATAATAATAATTTGACAATTCTTGTTCTAGAACTGCTCCGCTCCAGGTGGCTGCATGTTGGAGCAGCTCTGTTACTTTCATTCTGAGATTTTGCTTTTGGAAACTTTAATTCCTCTTTTTCTGGATGTAAATCACATTTTTTTGGATGATTGTTTCCTCTGGTATCAGATGCTGAGCAGCTGGAAGGATTTTTACTGAAACTTTTTTAGTTTTGGACATTTGTTATGATGCGTAACCATGGCAACAAGGCAGTTTTCTACAACCAGCAGCTGATTAACATCTCAAAAGCTCAAATAATATCTCAACTACAACACCAAATCTCAAGTGAGTTGAAAAGGATGTTCTGTGGATGCATTCTCATCTACCTGCCAGCTGTGCTCGAGTGCCTGACCACTGAGATCCTGGAACTAGCAGGAAACACGGCTCATGTCAGCAGAAGGACAGGATCGTCCCTCGGCACCTACAGCTGGCTGTCCACAGCGACGAGGAGCTCGACAGACTGCTGGGAGGAGTGGCCATCGCTCTGGGAGGAGTTCTGCCCGGCATTTGGACGGTCCTACAGCCCGAGGGAACCGAGAGGCCAGCTGAGTCTGGGTGGACGGATCGGACGGCATCTGCAGCCAGTTTCTTAGGATCCACTGTGGGATGGACCTTTACAAGAGATCCTTCCTGTTTACAGCATCAGCATCTATAACATCTTTAATGAAATGAGGATAACGAGTTACTACAACAAATAATTTCCCTCTGGGATTAATAAAGTGTTTTTGAATTTGAATTGATAATGACTATTGTCAAATTTCAAACAATATTATTGTTTATCGCAATAATTTCTGAGACATTTAATCGCCCAGCAAAATGAGTTATTGTGACAGGCCTAGTTTAGAGGCTAACACTGTTCAAATGGTGGCAACCCATTAGTTCTTGGTCCTGCTCAGACTAGCGGTTAGCGTCTTAATCTCCAACAAATGTCAGAAAAACAAACGATCTCCGAGGTCATTCACGTGGCTATCTACAACAGGTAAAATATTAATTGTTCATAACCTTTCCACAAATCCACTCCCCAAATGATCTGATTTATTCCTTCAACATTTTTCCTTTAGAAGAAGACAAAAACAAGTTTACTGTTCAGGCAGATCACGTGGCTGGACTGATTTATTGATCGTTTTGTCCCAGAACTGGTTGACTGTGATGGACTGGACCAGGCGTGCAGAGGCGGGCTGCCATCAAATGCTTACCAAGCTATTGAGAAACTGGGTAAAAAGCTGATTCAATAAAACTTTATGAAATTATTATTTGTACTTAATACAAATCAAAGAGGTGCATGCAACTTGTATGTGTGTACGTGTTGTGCAGTAAATTGGTTAGATTAATATTTGCTTCAAAGTTTTATTTAATGTTCAGGTGGTTTGGAGACAGAAACAGACTATTCCTACACCGGACACAAGCAGAAGTGTGATTTCACTGACAAGAAGGTGGCCGTCTACATCAATAGCTCCGTGGAGCTGTCCAAGGATGAGAAGGGTGAGGGATCAACAGGCCACTGTGTTGATCTAATGGATTATATATTCTATTATGGATTATTTCCTTTTGTCTCTTAAGAAATTGCAGCTTGGTTGGCAGAGAACGGACCAGTCTCTGTTGCTCTGAACGCCTTTGCAATGCAGGTGAGCCGTTATTTCGTGCTGCAGCAGTCGGTCATATATTTTTTATATTTGAACATTATTCTCCTAACATACAGTGGGGAGAACAAGTATTTGATAGACTGTTGATTTTTCAGGTTTTCCCACTTGCAAAGTTTGTAGATGACTGTAATTTTTATCATAGGTACTCTTCAACTGTGAGT